TCCTGCTGCCAGTGATGGGGGTGGGGAGCGTCTGTCTGTTTACTCTGTGGTAAGCAAAGCAGAAAATGATCTTGTTTCATTCCTCACTACACACAAATTCTGAAGCTGAGAATGAAAAAAAAAATTAGATGATTCCTTTTTACCAAACTCCCCCGTATCCTCTTGAGTATGAAGCAGGGATGTGAGACATTAATGTGAGAAAGGAAAAATTGGAACAGCCTGTACTGCCTCAGGGGAAACCTTAGAGGCCTAAGCAGCAGATACTAAATACCTGGAGTCACACATTCAAATCCCAACAGGGTCATCTCAGCCCTTCAGATTTCATCGGTGGATGATTTAAACTACCTCTTTGGAGGATCTTTAGGAATCTCCTGAAGCTAAGTCCTAGTCCTGTCAACCTTTAGAGACCTTAATGATGCCATGACAACTTATAAGGGTGTAGTTACCTGTTATACTTAGGTCATACTAAGAGCACTTAAAATGTAAGCATTCCCATTAGGCCTGTGCGAAGTGGCTAGTATTCGCTTCGGATTCAGCTGATTCAGGTGGCAGTGATTCGATTTGGTGATTGAATCACTGTCCTGAATCGATTCAGCCAAATCTGATTCAGAGATTCAGCTGCCGCCGAATCAGCCGAATCTCTGAATCGGCCCCATCCTCTGCCCACTCTCTCAGCCCTGTCAATGGCTTCCCTGCCTGGCCCCAGGTTTTTGAAAAAAAAGCCCAGCACTCACCAGCTACTGCCAGGCAGGGGCATGATCCCTGCTGCCCCCCACTGCCCCATGCTGCATGGGGGGCTTGGCCCCAGGGCTTTTTAATTTTTTAATTTTTTATTTTAATTTTTTTTAAGAGCCAGGAGCTGGGGCGGGCAGGGCAGCCATGGTGGGCTGGGAGAGTGGGCAGGAGTCAGTGGGCCCCCCCCTCCTCTGCCCCCTATTTACTAGCATGGAGTCCAGGTCCCGCTCCCTGCGGCAGCAGGAGGGGACTGCCTGAATCTCTAAAGCTCTCTGAATCTTTTTGAATTGATTCGGAGAGCTTCAAATCGATTCAGACCTTTTAATTGGTCTCCTCATTTGATTCAAATTCAGAGATTCGGCCTCCGAATCAGGCCGAATCAACTCCAAATTGAATCAGCACCTGAAGCGTCGCATAGCCCTAATTCTTATGTTTACTCATGCTAAGTGCGCTCTGAGAGTCTCAAAGTTATGCCACTTCAGGAGAGGGTTAACTGTACCTTGCAACCTAGTTTGTGTTAGGGTAACTTCATTCTACTCCACAGAGATAAAATGAGGAATTTGCAGGCCTCCAGCATCCCAGGTTGCATCGCTCCCAGCCTTCTCCCTCCCCCAAACCAGAGCAGGGATAGAGTCCAGGTGTCCTGGCTCCTAGCCATGCCTCTGCTTTTCAGTCCTCAAGTGACAAGTCAGAACTGTGCAGGCAAGAAATGGTGTTAAGTCTTAACATGCAGCTACTCACAGTATGTTCTGACTTTAAACACGGCTTTAACATTCCAGAGATGTAGTGTGGTCTAAGTGAAGCATGTAACTTCACCCAAGAGACAAGGGCTTTCCTCCATGGACTTAGCTAAACCTGTCTTATTTTTCCCCACTACCCCTATCCTGGGTTTCACACTCCTATCTAATCGTGGCTATTACTTACTTTTGCAGACAGCTCATTGAGTCCTTCTGGGTGAAAGATGCTGTGGAAGTTCAATGATTGCTACTAACTCTAATCCTCTGTAAGGGAGAGGTTGTTTGTTTTTTTTAAGGTAGGTAGGTAGCTCCCTTCTCTGGTTCCTGTGCTCAGGTTTCAGTCCAGCTGCTTTGGTCAGCAATGAAACAAGTTCATTTAGTGTCAAGTTCATCTTGAGTAGTTGTTTACAGCACCAATAAAGCAGTCTCTGGTTTAGCAGCATGGATTGTCTCTGCTCAGGGGATGTAACAGTAATTAATACATGGTCTGGGCCTGTGCCCAGAGTGTGCTAGGAAATGTGTGCAGTGCCTCTGGGCTCTACAGACGCAATCAGAGCTGCAAAGGGCCCAGCTGGGATGTTTTGAATGCAGAAATGAGTCTGAAGGGCTGTGACTTGCAGTGGTATCCATGCTTTAGTGCTGCTGTGGGCCAGCCATGTGTGTTGCTCACAAGTTCCCTTTGAATGCCCATCCCTTACTGCACATGGAGTAACACAGCAGCCTGCTAAAGGCTTGAGACTGGGGGAGATAGAGCTTACAGGGGACTGTGGTGCAATGCTATTTGCATCAGCAGGTGCTTGTGGCCCACGGGGGAGATCTGACTCCTAATGGAATAGTAGGAAAAGCAGCAGGCAGGAGGCTGTGGTGGTAAACTGTCCTTTCTGCCCATCCTTCCTCACACTTGGGGTTCTTGCATGTTTCTCACTGCTGTCTTCCTCCTCAGTGCCCTCCTCCACCATACATACTTTCTACTCATTTAGTATGCTTACATCCAGGCAAGTCCTGTGGTTTTTACAGCCTGCACCTGTTTTTTAACCCATCACTACCATTTGCTCATCATTGGATTTTAGCTCTTGGGTATTAAAGGAACTAGATAAGGCAATATCCTAAGTTAATGCAAAATACTTCTTGAGGCATTGGGCCCCACTGGGTTCTTCTCTGTGCTTTCCAGTTTCCCTCTAGCAGTGCCTGTTTCTCCTCTTTGTTTCTCTTTCGCTCCC